CTCCACCACCCTCGCGCCCCACACGCCTCCCGCCTTCCCCCTGGTAATCCTCTACCCCTCTCCCGCCTCTCTCCCCCTGCAGCTGAGAGAGCGGAGCCGCCCGCCCTGCTCTCCACCCTCGCGCCCCACACGCCTCCCGCCTTCCCCCTGGTAATCCTCTACCCCTCTCCCGCCTCTCTCCCCCTGCAGCTGCTAAGAGAGCGGAGCCTTTCCTTGCATAAACGACATTTCCTTTTGGGCAAGCCCGGGGGATTGTGGGTAGTGTAGTTCGGCTTGTGTCTCGGGTCCAGGTAGCTGCTCCCTATGCCCTTTGAACTCGCAGGCTTTGGGGGCGCAGGGCACACAGAGAAACGTCGCGCTGCCCTGATATTCCTGGCCCGGAAGGGCCGCGGCTGGTTGAAGCCAGGGCCGGGGCTGTGGAAGGCTCCAGGGCCGGGCAGGTCGAGATGGATACGTCTAGGGAAAGTGCCCCTGTGCCCCTCCCTCTGTGCTGGGCCTCTGGGTACCTGACAGGCGGTCAGGCCTGTTGGACCCCAGTTGTGACAGGTGCTGTACCCCATTAGCATCTGTGCAGGAGAACTCTTCTGTGCATTTCACAGAGCAGGCAGCCCAAGCTGGGAGCCTGGGAGACTTGCCAAGCGGCCCAGCTGAGACTGGGGCCTGGTGGTCTGGGTACGGAAGTTCAAAAGGGCATTTGAACCTGATCGTGGGGGGGGGGGCGCGTTGGGGACAGCTGTGATCCTCTCCGAGCACCCTCATACCGTTAGCCTCACCCTCACCTTGCAGCCACCCAGGGAGAGTGGGTGGTTTGTGGCATCGGAAAGCCTTGCAGCCACATTAGAGCTGTTTCCTCCCCCATGACTCTGACTCCCAAAGGTGCCCGCAGCTGGGCCCAGGGCAGGCGGTTCTGCCATTCCCGGTGAGTGCCAGTGAGGGCAGGGGCCAGAGGGGCGGGGACTTCCGCCACGTTGAGGTCTCTTTGATGAGTGATCAGCCAGGCTGAGTGGTCCATCAAATACCAGCGGCAGCACAGGCCACAGGAAGTGTGTAGTTATACCCAGCTGCACCCCCGCTCTCACCTGCTCGCTGCCATGGGCCCTCCCTGAGCCTAGCGCGGGCTGGTCCCTCTCCAGTTCAGCTCATCCCACCAGAGACCAAGGCGGGGTCTTATGACCTGCTTCCTGCCGGAGGGCAGCACCCCAACAGCAGAGGCCTCCTCAGAACTGTGTACACTTCCGTTTCCCAGAAGAAGCGTTCCCTGGCTGCCCAACCCACAGCAGCCTCTCCCTGCCCTGCACTCGTGGCCTCCACAGGACCCTCTACCCCAGGGACTCACTACAGCCATCCATGCCTCCTTTGTCATCACATCGGTTATGCAGTTTAGTTTACATATGTTAACCTTTGGGATACCCATCTCAGCTCCCACACCATCGGCCCCAGGGCCTGGAGCGGAGCAGACCTCATTAGCCAGGAAGCCCCTCACGGGAGGGGCTGTCCTGGTGACCAGGATGTGAACGTGCTGAGCTGCACATCTTTCAGGTTTGACATAAGAAGGACAGAGGCCAAGGCCCTGACCTGCTCACTACATGGTCAAGGCCCCGAGGATGATTTTCTGGGGACCCGTCCCCTGGGTGCCCGTCGGAAGGGATGTTACTCCCTGTGGCCCTGGTCTTGGCCTGGGTTTGTGATGATAATGATAAAGTCCCCACTGTGTGTTAGGTGCTGCCTGAGCGAGCATTGTCTCCTGTATCCTTCACCTTGACCCCAGGAGGTGGGCTGTACAGACAGACAGACCTAGGGGTCAGGGGACAGTGGCATTTTCAAGTCTGAATCCCCACCCAGATCTGGCCAAGCCTAAAGCCCACTCATCCCCTCCTCCCGGCGCCACCTCAGCCCCTCTGAGCCAGGAAGGAACCGATTCTGGAAAGCTTTGTCTCTGAAAGCCGCACGGGATGAGAGTGAGGACAAAATCAAAGACCCCTTGGCCTCGGCCCCAGAACCTCCCCTTTCTCATCACCCATCATGTGATGCTTCGTCTTGGGCTTGTTTGCAGGTGAGCTCTGCAGGGAGGTGGCCCAGGCCGTTGGCCTGGCTCTGAGCTACGAACCGGCTCCCCCAGAGCCAGCTCTGACAGGTAGAGGGTCTGAAAGGCTCAGCTCACGTGGGCATCCCCTGGCCCAGCTCCTGAGGGGCCCTCCAAGGTTCTGGCTGCTTCCCCAGCCCCCCTGCCACACACACACACACACATACACACATACCCGCCTCCCCACGCCACCCTTCTTCCTGCTCAGCATTTCCTGGAGCTCTGGGTGTTGGGCACAGACCCGCGGCTGTCTCAGCATCTGCAGGAGGCCCAGGAGGCATCCGCACGAGCGTGAACTGCTGGCTTCCGCAGAACAGGACAGGGACCTTTGTCCGAGAGGTGCCCAGCGCCAGAGGGACACTCACAGTGCCCCCCGGCCCCCCAGACTCCTCTGCGGTGACATCACCAGTGCAAGGGGGAGAGGAGGGCCAGCAGGCACAGCCCAGCCCCTCCCAGAGGTGGTGGACTCAGTGTGGCCCCTGGAGCCAGCGTGTTGTCAATGGGACAAGGTCCCTCAGCTCCTGGCTTTTGCCCAGTGTTGGCTGGATGCCTGCTGTGTGCTGGGCCCTCAGAGCCACTGGGGACACCGGCAGGGCCAGGACAGACGAGAGTGGTCCCCAGGCACTTGCATCCCCATGGGCCAGAGAGACATCCAGGGATGACTCCGGGCATGATGAATAGAGGTTCATTAACATAAATAACAAATGGGCACAAATTCGTGCTCGAACAGTTACGGGTCAGTGTCGATTGCTTCGCCGGGACGTTCGTGCAGGCGTCCGCTGTTTTGATGTGCGTGTGTCCAGTGTTGAGCTCGGGGGGAGGTGGGTGATGACGGATGCCTGGCCCAGGGGTCGAGGTGGGCAGGCAGTGAGTGAGCGATTAGAGCAGCGGTTCTCAACCTGTGGGTCGCGACCCCTTTGGCAGTCAAACGACCCTTTCACAGGGGTCGCCTAAGACCATCCTGCATCTCAGATATTTACATGACGATTCATAACAGTAGCAACATGACAGTTATGAAGTAGCAACGAAAATAATTTTATGGTTGGGTCACCACATGAGGAACTGTATTTAAAGGGCCAGAAGGTTGAGAACCACTGGATTAGAGGAAGTTCGAGTGAATGCATGTGTGTGAATGAATGATGGTGTGACAGTGTGAGTGTGTGTGTTTCTGTGTCAGGGTGTATGTGACAGTTGACAGTTGTGTGTAACTATGTGTGGAGTGTGTCTAAGTAAGTCTGAGTGCCCATGAGTGTGTGTGTGTGTGTGAGTCTATGAAGGCATATGTGTGTCTGTGTGGGAGTGTGTGAGGTGTGCAGGGGTGTGAGTGACCAGACGTGGTGTGGGTGTAGATGTGGGGGGGGGGGCATGTTGTGTATGACAGTGCCTGTGTGAGGGTCTGTATGCATGTGTTAGAGTGTTCTGGTTATGTGAGTGAGCGTGTGGGTATGAGTGAGCAGACGGTGTGTGCCCATGTGTGTGTCCGTGAGGGTGTATGCATGTGTGTATCTGGGGAAGGGTGAGTTTGTGTCCATGTGGTTGTGCGGATGTGTGTGTGGTGGTGGGCGTAGGTGAGCATGTTTGTGGGTGTGAGTAGGTGTGATATGTGAGTGTATGTGAGAGTGTGTGTGTGTGCAGGTAGGTGTGTGGGTGGTGGTTTCGGGAAGGGGGTCTTCAAGGCGCCTGCTGGATGGAGCCGGTGAGGGGTGGCTTGTCTGGCCTGGTGCACAGGGCAGTCCCCTGGGAACCCTCCCCTCCGACCTCAGGACTCTCTGTCCCTTGGCCCGGCTGCCCCATCCGAGTCTCCAGAACTACAGTTCTGAGCGTGAAACGCCCTCTCCTCCCACGATCGTGTCCCCAGAGGAGGAGCTGACCCAGCGGCGCGCCAAGGTCAGGCGGCAGGAGCTGGAGTGCACAGGGATG